AAACCACACAATATTGAAACCAACTAAATTCAAACCACACAATATTGAAACCAACTAAATTCAAACCACACTATAAACCAACCAAATACAAACTTCAAAATTTAGAAACCAACGAAATACAAACCTCAGAATATTGAAACCAACTTAATATAAACCTCACAATATTGAAACCAACGAATAAGAAACCTCACAATATTGAAACCAACTAAATACAAACCTCACAATATTTAAACCAACTAATTATAAGAAACCTCACAATACTGTGAAATCTACCAAGCAACACCAATAAAAAGAGAACTTTAAAACCAATCAACTAAATAACAAAGCAAAATATTACACACTTCATAATTTCAAACCATGAACCAATTAACCTAATAATGTTGAAACCAACCAATATTCAAGCAAAATTTCATGGAAATGTGAATTGATTTTTTTAAGATCTAAATATTTATTCAGTGATTAAAGATTAAAGATTTCATAAAGTTTTACAAATAATCTCAGAGAAATTTTACCACATATTAGTTTTTTTGAATTCACCAGCTGTAAAACAGAGTGTATTCTTAGAATGCCAGTGTACAAGTTCACATCCTGGTATTGATTTATCTGTACTAGGAAAACAGGCATCATAGTTTCCGATTTTTTCCGTGGTTTCATGGGGACATATTAAACACGTAGTATCCTGACAAAATCCAAACATAGGATTCACAATATTGGATGGAGGATTCAGTGTGAATTAAAATAAATTCAATGAAAATAAATCATGCTTATTTTTTTCCCTATATTCCATGTTATTGTAAAATGACCTGAACAAAATCAAGTTGTTTTTGTAATATTTGTTTACACTTTTACTTTCAGGTTTGTTTACTTTTTGTTTTGTCTCGATTATGATAAATCAGTAAAGTTTTATGAAAGAAAATGCATTTAGTTATAGAACTAGCATTTTCATATTGAAACTGGGAATGACACATTATGCATTTACGTGAGAGGGGGGGGGGGTCCGAAAGAAAAATCCTTTTATTTTTCCTTATTTACTTTACTTTATTTAAATAATCCGCAATATTTTTTTTGCAAATTTAGCAAAAAATTTATTGGGAAATCAAGTTCTAAAGCAGAAAATGTGCAAAAGCTAAAATTTCGTGAAATATGAATAATTTTACATTTTTGACTGGCCCTTGGCCAGGCGATTTAAATTTTACAAAAATAATGGCAAAATTCAGAGAAAAACTAAAAATTTGCAAATTTACTTCAATGGCGCCTGTGTAAAAATTTAAAAAATTCTTTTTAAGAACTAGTGCAATCTGATGGCTTTTTCAGAGGCTTTAAGTGTAATTACTGGAAGCCGGGTTAAATATAGATTTAATCTGGCAAAGGTAACATAAAGCTTTCAAGCATCATGCATGAGGAATCAGGCAGTAAGTATTATAATCCAGATTTTTGCTTAAAGTAAGTGAGGGCCTTGTGTTGGAATTAGAAAAGTAAAAAAAATTGACCAACTTCAGTCTCAGACCAATTTTTTAATTTCGTCAAGGATTACAAACATAACGGAATCTTTCGTTAACTTTGACAAACCTACCGTTTTGCTTACGCGGAACCTTGCGTAAAACCTGCCCTGATGCGTTATAGCATTGGTAATAGCCGTGAACAAAGGTATTTTTAAATGCTTTATCTGCTCAATTTTGAATTATCAATTATCAAATTCTCAAATTGATAATTATCAATTCAAAAACTGATTAATTTAAATTGTGGTTTCTCTACAAAAGTTACTTGCGCATCTACTGCAGAAAACAAATAGGAATTATCCAGGGGCGTACGAGGGCTTTTGCTTGGGGGGGGGGGGGGCACAATATGCGTGCGTAAGCGCCCAAAAAAATTTTGGGGTCCCCCCCTTGGCAACATTGTGCCCCTCCTTAAAAACACCTTTTTTGAAAAAAAGATTGATACCTTTTTTAAATTTTTTTTGCCACCCCCCCTCGCACCTGAACTTGTTTTGTTCACCATAAAAATACACCAAAAAGACTACATTTTTGGGTGGTTTCTAACCTTATAAAGTCTACAAATTATTCCTTTGCTTGAAAAACTAACTTTTTAACTTTATAAATTTATCACTTAACTCCATCACAGCTAACTAAATTAATAATCACAGCATCATTAAAAATTATATTTTTACTAATAAACGAAATTTCTTCTGAAATTTTTAGATAGAATTTACTCAATCTACATATTCACCAACTCCTTTAAGCTACAATTTTCTGGGATTTGCTTGCACAAACATTTCAATAATTTTTTCAGTAGAGAGCTCAAACAGCCTTATAGGGTGTAAAGCTATAAGTGCAAGATCGTTAAGTCTGCTCTCCGTCATAGTACATCTTGTGTAATGAAGTATTCTCTTTAGAAGGCTAAAACTTTTCTCTCCTTGTCTTGTATTAACAGTGAATTTAGACAAATCCTTAGTCTTTGTCATTGTCAGGTGTTACTTTTTAAACGTAGTTTCATTTTAATTTTGTATTTTCCAGGGGGGCAGTGCCCTGCCTGGAACTCCCAGGGGGGGCAAGAGGACTACTGCCCCCCTAGGTACGCCACTGCCTGGCCTGAGGAAGGGAAAAGCAAGCAGATGTAATATTAAAAGAGCCTCCCCCATGGGTGCCCCACTTCAGCCTCTCAGGGGGGGGGGGCACGCGTAGAGGGGGGCGAGGGGGCGCGGCCCCCCCTCGTACGCCCCTGGAATTATCCCTTAAACATGGTAAAAAAAAAGTTTCAAGGACACCGTTGTTAATCGGGCATTGCAATCTTTATATAAAGGGATACTGAAAACTACGCTTACAGTCCATTTAATCTTATTTTGTCGTATATAAGGGTGCATACAGGATTATATCACCAACTCTACAAACATTAATTCTATTAAAAGATAAACGTATAAACTTGTGAAATGAAAGGTTGCGGCAAAAACTTGAAAAAGATAAAAGCTTGTGGTTTACACATCTTATTCTAACCTTCACCTTCCTAAAGGAAACGAAAGATATATTTTTTGATCAGAGTTGAACATTTGTGTAGGATACTCAAAATCCTGATCTTGTGATCTAGATATACACTGTAGGCACTTTTGATTTTACGGATCAATGCTTAATCTCCTTCTTTCAGTTATCTTTTCAGGGTAAAATTTTCACTGCGGGGATATCGAATAAGGATTAAGATATCGATTTCAACAATACAAGATTACCTGCAGCTCAAATCGTATTCAAGTGACATGAATTAATGTAAATTAGCCTTGAGCCACTGTTAAGTTCAGTTCAATTCAAGAACCGGGTCGACATCTAACCATCTAGAGCGAGCTGTACAGTACACATTCAGATTATGCAACACACTGTTAAGTCCAGTTCAATTCAAGAACCGGGTCGACGTACATCTAACCATCTAGAGCGAGCTATACAGTAACAGTACACATACAGATTATGCAACACACTGTCAAGTCCAGTTCAATTCAAGAACCGGGCCGACATCTAACCAGCTAGAGCGAGCTATACAGTACACATTCAGATTATGCAACACCAAAGATAATATATATATAGATATGCAGGCAGGTAGAAACCTCCTTCCTAAATCGCTTGTAGCAGAAAACTAATTTTTGAACCTCTGAGAAAATGTGCAAGGAGAGACATCTATAGCAAATTGATTACTTTCTATATTCCTTTCTCCCCTTGCTGCTATCTGTAGGAAATACGCATTTGTGTTATATATAAACAAAGTGATAAATTAGCAACAATCCAGAGGATAAAATGCCATGCGTACGACAGAGATGGTGCTGTTTGCACATTTTCTCAAGACCTCTAAATTTATACCTGCCTGCATATCTATATATATATTATCTTTGTGCAACACACTGTTAAGTCCAGTTCAATTCAAGAACCGGGTCGACATCTAACCAGCTAGAGCGAGCTGTACAGTACAAATACAGATTATGCCAGGCAAAACGGGACACTACAGTACACCAAATGAACCGGACCCTTCTAGAGAAATTTATGTACTCTAACAATCGGATTTTCCGGAGGGGGGGGGGGGTAATCGGAATCTCTCCTTCTTGAATTGTTGTAAAGGAATTTTAGTCATTTTTGTGTGAAAAGACTGTCATATGGCTGTGGGTGGGAGGGAAAAATTGTGTTCTGACTTCACAGAGACGACTGCACAATGTTTAAACTTTAACTCATCATTAATTCTATAGTACTTAAAAATTGTGCGTCTTTTTTTTAAAGCTTATAAATTGTATTATTGGATGTCCTAGAATTTGTATTACTGCAACTTAGTAAAGAAATAACAACAATCTTGTCTACTTACAGTTTAGCTTGATCTTATTTATTTCTTGTTCTATGTAATTATACATAGCATCTAGTTCTATAAGCATATATCTACACATCCTCTGTTTATCTGGTTCTATAGCAAATGTACCTTACAGTATCCAAGTATCCTCTATATGTGGTTCTATGAGCATGTACCCAAAGTATCCCTGTACCCTCTGTATCTGATTCTATGAACGTGTACTCCAAATTATCCTTGTATCCTCTGTTTCTGGTTCTATGAGCATGTACCCGAAGTATCCCTGTACCCTCTGTATGTAATTCTATGAGCGTGTACTCCAAAGTATCCCTGCATCCTCTGTATCTGGTTCTATGAGCATGTCCACCGAAGTATCCCTGTATCCTCTGTATCTGGTTCTATGATCATTGACCATGTATCCCTTAGTATCCCTGTATCCTCTGTATCTGGTTCTATGAGCATTGACCATGTATCCCTTAGTATCCCTGTACCCTCTGTATCTAATTCTATGAGCATGTACCCCGAAGTATCCCTGTATCCCCTGTATCTAGTTCTATGAGCATGTACTCCAAAGTATCCCTGTATCCTCTGTATCTAGTTCTATGAGCATGTACCCCGAAGTATACCTGTATCCTCTGTATCTAGTTCTATGAACATGTTCACCGAAGTATCCCTGTATCCTCTGTATCTAGTTCTATGAGCATGTACTCCGAAGGATCCCTGTATCCTCTGTATCTAGTTCTATGAGCATGTACTCCAAAGTATCCCTGTATCCTCTGTATCTAGCTCTATGAGCATGCACCCTGAAGTATCCCTGTATCCTCTGTATCTGGTTCTATGAGTATGTCCACCGAAGTATCCTTGTATCCTCTGTATCTAGCTCTATGAGTGGAACTTGTTCTCCGTAAATTCAGTTCGTTAGAGACCAGAGACAGAGAAGGGTATCAGGATTGTTAGATAGATAGATAAATACAGTTCTTACTATAATAGATATACAGCGCTCATGCAGACTTTATCTATTGTCCGAGATACAGTGATACCCAATAAATATAAAACATTTACAATGGCCTTTGAATCTTACTTCGGGCGACAGGGGGGAATAACCCATTTTCTCATTTAATTACCGAATATACCGCTTTATTTAGTAGAGTGTTTTTAAATGTGATTTGGAATCCACTTTTAAGCACTCTGCGCATTGAACACTTTCAGCTGAACAACTATTTGAAAAAATAGATGTTTGTATGGATATTTCTAAACTAGCTAGGTAGGCTTCTAGTTTTCCATTCAATGATCTAACTTTTAAAACTATTCCCAAAATGTCTGTTTTGTTTAAAGGGATTGTACGTTAAACGTAATTTTAAGTAACCCTGTCAAATTCACAACGGTTCACAGACAAGATATTTTTCTTATAAGTTTGCTTTTATTAAATTTATTATTTCCTTTGTAGTTTTACTACAAAAGTGAAAAAAAGGCTAAATTGTTAGAATTCAACAGTTTTCGAGTTAGAAACACGACGTTATCTTTTATGTTATTGAGTAGATTAAGGAGTTAAATTGTTATTATGAAACTATTGTGTACTTTATCATTCTTCCTCACTTCATCGTAAATTTTATAATGAACGTGCTATGAAATAATCATCGTGCTATAAAGTTAAATTAGCTGTTCATTATAGCACGTGTGCTTTAAAGTTTTCATTGGTTCCCGGATTTTCTCCAAAAAATTTAGGATATTTCCAAAATATCTTTTTTTGCAATTGAAATGAAAATAAAATTGAAATCAACATTATATTTTTTTACTTCTGCTTTGTTTTAAAGCTTTTTGATCTAGAAATAGCCATTGAAATAAGACAAGTACACAAATTAAAAATATACCTATAACAATATTATTTTGGCACGACGTTTTTGGACAGAAATTTTATAACACTGCGAACCAAAATAACAGTGTCATAAATAGTTAAAAAAAGGGTAGCATTGAAAATTTTTTTAAATGGAATTAATGTCACTTTAGACAAAAACTCTTTTCTTTTAATTTTTTATAATGATAAATTGAACATTAAATTAGATAAATAGGTTTTTTTGGTGTAACATCCAGCTTAAAGAGGTAGCCCTCATCATATCTAAGTTTTATTATATGAACCATAATCAGATTTTGAACCTACAATAGGTCCTTTTTTCAAAAACCGTTCCAAAAATTCATCAAAAAGTAAATAAAATCAATTTAAATGCAAGTTTAAGACTTTTCGCATACCATACCACTTGCTGAACGACGACTGAACCGATCAAACCACATTTTTTTTGGGACCTCACATGATCTCTGGGAAGGTTCTTGGATGGTTAAAATTGAAAAACTGTTCTTAAAAAAATTTTAATTTTGCGAAACCTACGAGAAAAAAATCGTTAAAAGAGCAACACTAAAAATTTAATTTAAAATTTAAGATGAGCGCCCTTGGAAGTATTGCCTTCTTTTCCGTCATGCTTAATTGGACTCACTGTACTTTTTGAATGCTCCAAGTGTGTTATTCTTATAAGTTTAGGTTTATTTTATATCAACAGGAGTGTTAGGAAAAGTTATAAACTTGTCAAATCAAAACTTTTAATTTCTAAAACTTTGTACTTCTTCTAAATTAAATTACTTGTATGATTTTAATGGTTTTCTTTGTGTTTTCTTCAATTAAATAACTTAATATATTTCCTAAGTTTAATTAAAAATAAGTTCTAAAAGTTTTGAGTTTTGGTATTATTTTCTTAAATTGACAATGTTCGTCTCACTGAATAACTCCCAACAGACGGAAGATCTGTATGCCACTAATACACTGTTTATTTAATATTAGCGTTGGATATATATACTATATAGGTTTTCCAATGTTAATCGTTACTTCATAATAATTACATCAAATATCATAATCCATGAGTTTCCAATGGTTTGTGCTGGTTTTACAGAAGATTTAGTAAAGTAGATTTAGCCCTGGAAGGATAATGTATGTACTATGTTTGATGTAAATCTTTGGTAAATAATCTCCGATAGTTAAATTTTTTTCAAATATTTCTGCAACGACCGCTATGTGTAAGGGAAGTTAAAATTAGCAAATTTAGTTGTCAACTTTGACTTTAATTAAACAATTCTTATACAAAAAGTTTTCACGAAAATTAAAAAATTCTCAATATTTTATCAAAATGTTTAAATTTCGCGAAAACGGTTTTTTGAAAATTTTTGTGAAGCAAAAAATACGATTTTGAACGAAAGGTTGAGCGATTTTTTGCTAATAAATTGTATTGAAAATTTTCGCGAAAATGATTGAACGGAAATTCGGAAACCCTTTTCGAAATTAATGGTATTTTAGCAAAGTCGAGAGACGGTTCAACCAAATATTTAAATAGTTAATTTAGGATTTGTAAACTTCATGTCAGCACTACAGATTAAAAGTTAAATTAGAAAATTCAATCCAAAAAATAATAAAGAGTGTAGTTTATTAAGAAACATAAAAAAATAAAAAGTAAGATAGTATATATTCTCCAATAAAAAGCTTCCCGTGTAGAAAATGGTGAATAATTTAGTTTCCTGGCTAATAGATGTATTTAGATAAATGTATCTACTCAGTTTCTTTATATCTAATTAACCGACCAGAATATGTCCAATCAGTCAGGAAAAATAGATAGGAGGGTTTACTTATATCTGCATATAAAGTTTTTTTTGTCTGTCAGTTTGTTTGTTTGTGTCCATTAGATGTTAAAACGGCAGCATGCACCATGTCGTGCGCCAATTTTGCTGGCATCTCACGTGATCCTAAAGAAAAATTATAAAGATAAAATGGCAGCTTGTAAAATGTTTGTGACTAGAAGAGGGGCACGGAGCGCCCGAAAAACTCTGTTATAATTAAAATAATAAAATGGCAGCTTGTAAAGCAACAATTAAGCGATGTTTTGTGACGGAGCACCCGAAAAACTTTGTTATCATAAAAGATATTATACAGTATCCACGACACTTTTTTTCATTTTGAGAACAAGATAATCAAATTTTTATCAGAAAACGATCATGATGCGTTTAGAAAACGACATCTGTTAAAGATATTTTGTAGACACCCCCCTAAAAATGAGGAAAAACTCGCAAGTTGAAGTCCAAATTTTCACCCCCCTCCCCCCCCCCCCGC